TATATATATATATTATCACTCTCTTTAAGGTATAATTTATTACAAAGATCACCAAAGGTAAACTTTTTAGCATCACAAATTATTCTCTTAGATTTTCTACGGACCATTTTATATTTTTCTTACTCTAAGTTGTTACATTTAAATCAATTTTTATAACATAACTTTTTATATTTTATCCTTTCTTACAAATTATTATTCCACCAACATCTATTTTTATTTATAGAAACTTTCTTTTGTTTCTCGAAGCACAACTTTTTTCATTTGTTTAATAGTATTTGTTGTTTTATTCCACATAGAATTTGCTGCATCATGAATAACCCAAATCTTGAAATCTTGAAGTTTACTGTTAAAGATCTTTGTTTATGTCTTTTAGATGTTGTCATCCAATTCTACGATAATGATTTTTATTATTCTTTATTTTACAACTCTTAATCTTAAAATCTAGAACAAATAATTGCTATTGAGTACTTAAATCTTCACTTAGAATGACCTTACAATTTTTACATTTTCAACGATGTCTTCTTTTCATAAGAAATTAATCAATTTGAGTTTTATTAGATCCATTCTTATAAATAATAATATGCTAATCTTTTTTCTTGAATAAAATATTAACAATAACAAAATCACACACTATAGAAAATCTAATATGTCTCTACATTCTTCATTAATCACTCCAAAACCGTAGTCACCATGAATATTTCTAAAATCTTCTACCACTTTATCAACATGTCCATTTAAATCTCCAGATATCATTTATATTCAGTCTTTTAGACAAAACCATAGTCACCATGAATATTTCTAAAATCTTTTACCACTTTATCAGCATGTCCATTTAAATCTCTAGATATCATTTATATTCAGTCTTTTAAGTCATTCCAGAATTTATCTTTAGAACCTATATTTAAACCTACTTGAGGAGCAAAAACACTTTTGATATTAAAAATCTTATTATCAACAATAATCTTAAGAGCAATAATTCTATCTTCAATTCTATTAATCTTTACATTATCTTTTAAACTCTTATCTATAAACACATAGACACCATTTCTAATGCGACTTTTATATGAATACCAAAATTTAAAACCTAAATTATCAATCTCCAACCCATTTAATTTCTTAAATACATAAGATATTTATTTCTATGAATCGTAATATCAACTAATTCCATTAATTTACATATGATTCCAAAATTATATCTTAATATTAATTTTATAAACTAACTTCTTTACTTGCATCCAACCGTAATGTCAAAATCATTATTTAACACTACAGTCAGGCGCCGATTTCACAGCCCTTGCACACTCTTCAACTTTCTGGTCATATAACGTGTCGCTTCTTAAGGACACCCTAACATTTGAACAATAATCAAAATGATTCATGTCATGATTATTCAACAAATTTTATGTTGGCTGTCGATATTTAAAATTAATTTCCCAAACACATTATTATGTTCCCCCAAAAGCAAATATTTTAATAACAAAAACATGAAAAACAGTAAAAAAAAAAAATTATCATTCAGATGAACATTAATTGCAATGGCTGACCCAGCTAAAAAAACTAAAATAATAATCCTAAATAATAAATAAATAAATAAATAACAAAAATAAATGAAAGTTAATGAACCCCAAGCGTCCAACAACAATACTGCAGCGCTGAACGGCAACACTAATTGAGACAACATACAACAGCTGAATTGGCAGAGGCATGCTGTGCTACTTTAAGTGCACCAATCAATCCATATATATATATATAATAAATGAAAAAAGAGGCATTTACAAACATACCGCACAATTCTTTTGCATTTACACATCTACCAACTAGACATTCATATTTACATGCAAAACTCTCGAATATTTAACACCGCATGAAAAATAACACCATCGCTATCATTTTAAAAACGAAGTACACATTTTCACGCATAAATTTATGATACCAAAATGTTATAAATATAAATATCAAACTTTGCGGATTAGATATGTAAATACATAAGAATTGCATGGTATGTATGTAAGTTCCTGAATAAAAGAAAAAATCATTAAGAAACCAGGAAAAGATGCTCAGCATGACCCAAAAGCTCATTCAAAGTTCATCAATTCAGCTTCAGAAAACCAGCACAGATAACTAACTCATATATGACCATTACAGAACTTGAGGACCATCAAATTGCTCCTAAATAATCTCAGCAAAAGCAACAAATACGTAGAAATATCAATCAGATGTTAATCCCTAGAGCTATACAGGTTTCGAGGTTCTTGGTTCCCTCTCATAATAAAGAAGAAATACACACCACCACCTAAAGAGCTAACTTTTCATCAACCAAATGCAGAAGCCCAGCAAAATTGAAGATCAGTGATCCATGGCCTAAGAGTAACCATCTGGTGCATCAGACAGAGAATGGCATGTTAGTTTGCATGAAGTAAAGCAGTAATAAAACATAGCACATGAATAGCAACCACAGTGAGAAAAAGAATATCATTTATAGGATAGATATCGAAGTATATATTAACATAATATATGCATTGCTGATATCGTTTTAGGACTCCTAGAAAATATTTTGGAAATGTGTTTAGATGGGAGGTAGTTGTGAAATGGGATGGGGAAGAGAATATGGGAGTTTAACGGTGGTGTTTGGATGGGGGATGAGCGTTGTTCGGCGAGTGTTCCTCCTGAAAACAGCAAAAGAAGAACCACATAACGGTAAGGTACGGGTAGCGAGAAAGTTCATTGTCTGTTCCTGAGCAAGATATAGACATACACCAATTGCAAAAGAAAGACATACAATACACCATAAGGTAGAAAAACTGATATTAGGATCTCTATAAAATCAAAACAAAATAAAAGCTCTCCAAATTGGAAAATAATAGCATAAATAGTTCCCTCATAACAAATAACCTATTTAGAAAGAACTAAATAACATAGAAATAAAAAGTAAGAAATATGTTGAAATAGATGGAAATCAGTCGGCTTTGCGCCCCCCTGTAGTCCCATAGTGGCAGGACTTATCTGCGACCAGCGGGATTTGCGAATTGTGAAATCCGGCCTGTAGCGTCTCACATCAATGGACCTTGTGATTCATAAAAAAATTAGACATTTAATGAAATCCGGTAGAGTCGAGCTAAGACAAGAGGAACATTTTGCCTAAAAAACATGATGAGGCAGTTTGAAATGAAAGCTGAAGAATGCTTGCATATTACCATTTTGTCAAAACAATTTTTTGCACTAGAGCCTCCATCTCCAGCTCACCAGCTAAAAGTAAACCGGTTATGGACACGATCGGGTGAATCAGGACATAACCCGGACCGCTAAGGATTCAATAATTTATCTCTGAAACAAGTTTGGTCATCTCACAGGTAAAAATTTTGGAAGTCTCATTATACACAAAAAATAACATTCCAAGGCTCTACATTTTTTATGGTGAATATCGCATATAGCTCCCTGAATTTTCTGCAATTATACTTAAACCCTTATTGTTAAATGTTATATTCAATGGTAAAACCCCAATACATTTCATGAAATTACACTTGCCTCCAGTATTATCAGATTTTAATTTACATAGTAACCCCAATTTACTAAGCTAGCACATCAGATTTGAAGAAAACTAAATGTACGTGTAATAATGATTATCCAAAAGGGAAGAGATGAATGTAGCAAACCCGAAAAAGAAGCCTACTGTCACCAATATCGGTACTTGCTACAAATTAAAACCACAATTCTGAAGAAAATACTACTGATGAATCCATCCAAGTCTCAAATATAGATGGCACGCGTGCAGTAACAAGTTTCCAATGATGAAGAATATAAGGGCAATGTAGACAATAGATCATAACTAATTGTGCATGAATTGAGCGCCATTAATGGGGACATATTTTTAAGATTGAAACGACTGAACATATTTCGATCAAAATGTATGAATAGGGCTTAAAGCAAGATGACAAAGCCACAAACAGGAGGCAATATACATCAATAGATACAACTTATTCTTTACTGAACTGCTACTAATCTGATAAATAGTGTTTAAGCATTAAGGACCTTCAAAAGTTGGAAATAACATCATCATCTAAGAGAGCAAGGTGATAAAAAAGAGGGGGATGGATAAAAGTGAAGAACTGAAAAATAGAATAATCCCAATAAGATATCGAATAAATCTGTCGTCAACATAACCTAAACTCTCCGTGAGATCTATTTGGTGCCTGATAACAGTTTTAACTAGCTTGTGTAGTTTTCAAGAGAATTAACAAATGATTTCATTAAAAAAAAATTTAGCTATGTATGAAACTAGAACATAATTGAGTAACGAGACGTGAATAAGAGATCATAGAATTAATGTCCGTAAATTAATGTCCATGTCAAGAAACTTAAACACATTTCTAAAAAATATTAAAAGGATCTTTGCATTAACTAGTTCACACCCGCCAGAGGAATCCACGCACTTGACATCATAAAACAAAACATTTAACAAAATGATAGACGCAGTGTCAAAGAATGTGGCTTTAGGTAAGGTACTTGCCTCTACATAATTAGGCTTGGGAAGAATTGAGTTAAAAGGCATTTACATACATACCACCAAAGTCTTACATATTTATGCATCTAACACCTAAATTTTATTTTTTACATTTATACCACCAAACTCTTTCATATCACATCAAGCCCTCATTTTAACTTCTAAAAAGTGAAATACATCATTCCATGCATAACTAAAGTGGTATGAATGTAAAAAATGAGTTTTAGGTATTAGATATATAAATACATAGGAATTGAGTGGTATGTATGTAAATCTTCCTTGAGATGATTAACAACAACAACTGCAGTTAAATCAACGCTTTCTATTTTACTCATTCTCTATATTACTTTACAAAGAGAAAAAAAAAGGAAAAGAAAACATAAAGCATCAAAAACAATATGGCACTGCAAAAGCATAAAAAACAACAAGGCACTCCAAAAGAATAAAACAAGAAAAAAGAGATTAAAATATAGAAAAAGATCTCTAAAAATCTCTTTTTTCCATAGACTACTAAACATTGGAGCAATTACAAAGAACTCTGTTCAAAATTCTTCCAGATATACAAGATAAAGAGGAACATATCAATAGGACCAGCTCCATTATTACATGGTCATATGCGCTGAACTCAAACAAAGGTAAAAAACGAAGATACAATGCAACAAATTAAAAAACTTGCATTTTCTTGTTGGGAAGATTCCAAGTGAAGCAAAAAGGTAGGTAAAAGAAGACCACTTGAAAGGCATCCTACAACAAAAGAAGTTTCAGCAAAACAAGCTTACGCTAATAGTTTACACCTATTACAGGCACAGTAACTAATTGTCGACAAAGAAGAAAAGGTTCGCCTAAATATTTCAGAACCTTCAACCATGAAAGAACTAGACCGAGAATTGCTTGACTAATTACAAGAAAAAAGGAAATGAAAAGATTCAATCTTTACATATCAATCATAGTTGGCTTCTAAAAATAAAAGAAAGAAAGAGCAGATAAAGATAGCCGCTCACCAGAATCAGAGCGCCTGATGCGCTTAATTTTCTCCATCTGAACCTGAGTATCCACAAACATTTGCATGCGTTGAAACTCCAGCCCCTTAATGAACTCCATTCTCTGCTTCTCCAGCTCGATCATCTGCCGCTGCTTATCACCTTCCACCTTCTCATAAATCTCCGCAAAACGCTCGATCGCACGGGCGAGCTCACGGATACCATCACGATCGCTGCGCTCTCGTCCCTTCTTCCACCCCCTCCCAGACTTCTCCCTGCTCGATCCAGACCTCTCCATGCTAGATCGCGAAGACCTCGATGACGACCTAGAGTCCCCATTAGCCGCTGCGGCCGCAGCAGCTGCTGCAGCCGAGAGGTTTCTCCTGAAAAAAGAATCATCAACCGGGATCGCGGTAGCAGAAGGGCGCTGGCGCTTCTCCTTCGGCAAGGGATCCACGGTGCGGATGGCAGCCGCCG